TCTGGAAGAGCATCAGGAGGAGAAACAATGATGAGACCAAATTTTTCAATCGTTATTGCTGTACCGCCTGGTACAACAACATTAGTACTTCTGACTACCTCAACACCAGGCAGAGGAGCTATTATATTTATTATAATTATGATAATAATGTAAGTACAATCTTACCAATAAAACTGCTTTGCGGTCCATAACTTGCATAAATTATGAAAGAGAGGAATACAATGTATATAAGAATAGTCATCAGTTCTGAAAATAAAATACACAAATCTTAGATAGTTGACATGTTATTTTAATACTTTGTCTATTGGGTTTTAGCAATGATAACAATGGTGCTTGAATTCTTTTCTTTTTCAGTTCGTGAACTAAGGGGGTACAAAATTGAAAATAATCAGACTTATTATTAAATTCACATATGAATGAGAATAATGTTTACTATGAAGTGTGAACTATTATTATAATCAAAATTGTATGCATGAATAGAACTATAACAGAATATGAAATGGAAGAGTCCTTATGTAACATGATGTGTGCAGTACATTACATAAGATTATAAATATAGTGGTGATAAAGCTACACATACAATAAACAGAGAAATTACTTTGCTATGTACTGTATAGCCAAAAATTTTTGTGAGGAATAAATTTCCGTACTTTCGTGACCACTGTTCACATCACAAAAAATTAAACCCCCAAAATAAATATTAATCAAAGGGCATGGTCAACCATCCCTTACATTACTATGGTGGGTGTGTGCATGCTCTCGTGTCTAAACAAGTCGTGTTCTCAGTCAAGTTGATGTCCCTGTATTGCTACTTTAAGCATAGTGGCAAGATCAAAAATGATCTCCCCAATTACTGGTGTCCACACTGTTTTGTAAACATATGGTGCCCCCTGACACTGAGACAGAATAAAAGTCCCTCTCAAACGCTGTGTCTGCCATGTTTTAATTGAAATGGGCGTGTTAAGTTGCTATTAAAATAGAATCATGAAAATATTTTTCATGGAATTAAAATTTTCCAATAAGTTTCATTATTCATGAAATTTTAAGCCCTGGAAATTTTTGGCTATACGGTATTAATATTTCTGAGTCATCTATCTACAATAGTTAGCACATGTATGTGTGCATTGTAATTTAGATGCCTATTACTAAAATATTTAGCTGTAGAAATGGGCCTATACCACCTATGGAAAAGGAGGGGCAAGGAATGATAATGAATCACTAGCATAAGATTTAGCCTTAAACCTATAATAAATCTAAGTACATTAGATAAAGATACTTTGATTTTTCTAGCACTGTGCTACATGTACATGTATCTTTTAATGTTTATGAATGAGCTTGAGATTAACAATATTGCATCAGTCTGTAAAATACCATTTTGATGTTCTCTGTCAGACTGCCTGTTAGTAGCATCTGTCAATTATACAAAATATATACAGTGAGTACAAACACAATTGTGTAAATTACATACACTCAATCAGTCACACAATAATATTCTTACCCATTGAAGGGATCAGGTAATTAAATTGTAGTCCAATGGAACTAGTCTCTTTGATGGATTGTTCCTCTAAGGATGTGACTCTCTCCTGTAGTTGTGACTTCTCCTTCTTTAGTTTGGCTGTATACAATTCATTATCAGACAGTTTAGCTTTAAGGTCTATAAATTAATAGAATATTAATAATTATTATTGATTGATGATGATACACTAACCAGTAATGGTCTGATTCTCATTCTGTGATTGTTCCTCTACTTGTGATGTCAGTTTGGCTATAATTTTTTCTTTCTCAGAAATGTCAGTTTTGAGATTTTGATTGTCGTCTACACAATAAACATATTCTCTCATCTAATACATGCTGTGTGTATAGTAAACTAACCAATAATGATCTGTTTCTCCTTGAGATATTGTTCCTCCTTCTCCTTCATATCAGCTACTTTGAGTTTCAGACAGAAAGTAAAATGATATTTTTTGCTTATACAAATTTGCACTGCATGGTAACAGTAGTCCATAAATACATGTACTATGATTATTGCTAATCATACCATATATGGTAAATCAGTTAGTACAGTTAAAGTGTGTGTGTGTGTGTGTAGTATCCTATATACCTTGTTTATTGGCCTCATCCAGTGCCTCCTGTAGTGATACTTGGCTATGATGAGCCACTTGCAGGTCTTCATGTAAAGATTGTATATATCTCTGAAGCTTCATTTCCCTCTCTGTCAGATATTCTATTAGCTGATCCATCCACCATGTTCTGGTTTTGCTGTACGATTCATACTTTTCTTGATAGTTCTTACTAGTGAGATCATTACCATCCAGTACTGACTCTACTATCCACTCACCAGCTTCACTATATACTGAGAGACAATAAGATACATTATATATTTATAAATAAATGTATTTAATTTATAAACTAATGGTATCATTTATAGTGGTTGTAAATACATACCCACACATACAGTGGTATTGTAGTGTGTACAGTATACAAAATGAATGGAAAATGTACGTCATATTAGGAACTGAAATTTACAAATAATGTACATACTATAAAAATGAGTGGCACATTATTTAATGTAATTATGTATTTAATGCTCATATCTTTAGAATTGATTAATATTATCTTACCTAATTCAATTATCATTATTAGTCTATTAGTATCAGTGATTAGTAAACTCTTTGGCTCCTTCTTTCCTCCTCCAACATCTTCCCATTCAATCTCATTACACCCTCCAACAATTACTAGCCACACACAGTGTGGTGACATTGTGACTGCTGTGAGTGAGTGATCGTATCTACCAGTGACAGATTCAGGTAGAGGAATCTGTAGATAAAGAGAAGTATACAAGTAATTACTGATACTTTATGTTTATACAGTCACTTATAAAAATGAGAAATTGTATCATTTCATATGTAGATGATTGTTACATTTATTGTAATTGTAAAATCAATTCTAATCCTCACCATCAACAAACAATAAACATTTTATTACACATCATGTGAAGAATAACAAAATACATGTATGTGTACAAATATGTACATAATGTGATGTGTTAAACCAAATGTGTGGGTGGTTCTATTGTATTGTTAATGTTTCATCAGTGACAGTGTTATCTACTCAACACACTAACAATTACTAATCTATCATCAATATACATCAGTACTAGTGTCATACTCTCAACTGACCTAACTATACACACACACACATCATTACAGTACTATACACACACATACCTTCCTACAACTGTACTGACCAGTAGTGATACTATCAAATAACAAACATTCAGTTACTAGTTGATTCTTCTTATCCCGTCCACCAATCACTACTAGTGTAGGTGAGGTAGAGTCACCATTGATAATAGCACTAGCATGATCAGCTCTCTGCATAGGCCACAGTCCCTCATTAGGTATTGCTCCTGGTTTCAGTATCTCCCAGTTCTAGATACATAAACAAATACTAATAATATCACTCAGCGTAAATATGAATAATGGGTGTAGCTATACAAATAATGGGTGTGACATGTAAAAATTAATCCTAATATTTAATACTTTGATGTTAATGAGGTGAGGTTAGTGGTTGTGTTTAGTATTATACATGTACAAGTACTGGAGGTATAACAAATCTATTGGTACACAATATACTTGATAATATGAAATACCATACTAAGCATGACTATACACTGTCTAATTGTGAAAATATTTTATGTAGTATCAGAGTTTGTGAATATTTAATATAATAATACACAAAATACAGTTAATATGAGTACAACACAATATATCCTCTAGTGATAATACTGAGATAATGTATTACTGTACAATACAATACAACAAAATATAATACAACTTACTATTATACTATGTGTCACACTGAATATGTAAACACTGTTAGTAACTGTACTCTCATCACCATTAACAGTCACCATACCCCCAAACATTACTCCTCTATTACCGGTAGTAGTAATCTTCTCAATTATGAAAGAATCAGTTGGTGGACAACACTGTCCACTGACAGATGGAACAGTGAATTGTCCTAAAGTGAAGAGAATACAGTGATCATCTATCAATACATAAAGTACAATGTATAACTGCATATTATTGTACATGTACCGATAATTTTATTAATAAAAAGACACAATTAACATTAGTAAATCAGTATAATGTATACACGTAAATGTATAAAGCTATTTATTAATATGAAGAGAATCTTACCAGTGGACACATTATAAAGTAACTGTTCATTAGTACGAACACGACCATTATTAAGTTGATCATATTGAAACTGAGGATGGTAAACAGTTGGTGTAGAACCAATCCCTCCTATTATGACAAGGTATTCTGCTCCATCAAATTCCAGTGATATCATTCCAGCATAGCCTTTCTTCATCAACGACTGTTCAGCATTACTGCATGAAGTCCACTCCATCTTTATCGTATTCAGTACATTCAATGTATTGTGGAAACAGTCATCATGACCACACCATCCACTGAAATAGTAAATATTAGAATGAGAGGTGGTACAGGAGTAGGCCATGACTCCTAATGGAGGAGTACCTCTTGTTAGGTGAGAGGACCAGTGAGCAGTAGAAAGCTGGCGGTACACATCAACTCTTGAGGTCAGTCCCCTCTTTTGAAGGGAGTCATGAACTGCAGGTAAGTCAACCTGGTTCCTGGATTGTGGTGTTGTATAGTGCAGGAAGACTGCTAGTAGAAAGGAGTAAAAGTCTTCAGTACTATGTCTGTAGGGTCCTGCTCATGCTGTCTTTTATAGTCTCCTTAGTTCCTACTGTATGTAAACATCCTGTATATATCACTGCAGTTGACCTTGTAATGCATAGTACACTCTTGAGGTTTTGGTTTGGACTATAACCAGGAAATGAAGTCTTGATTGCTTCATGTAGATTCAACGACTGCATATACTGATGATGCGTACAGTGT